AATTACACAATACCATTATGAGGTTTTTATATAAAAATCTCGATCTCTATTAAACTCAGGTACCAGTCTACTTATTGAATACCTATTCATATTGATTCATGATCCTGACTAACTTCTGACAGAATCTGGATTAAACCCTGGCTAATTCCTGAATAAACTCTGATTAAATCCCGGCTATACACTGAATAAACCTTGATAAACTCGGAATGAAAAATAATTCGAATCTTCAGAGGGCCTGAATGTAGAATTATTTGACAGAATGAAATAATACGCAAAATTTTGATGATATTTCAATTAAGGAGAGACTACTATGAGTTTTAATAGTCCNAATTGCCTCATCAAAAACTCCCGTTTTGAAGGAAACCATGAACTTCAGTTCAATTATTCTTCAATTCCGTAGCGAAGTGGTAAAAGGAGATAAGTCAATTTTGACTGTTGACCAGTTTTCGATTAATATCTCGAAATCTAAGGAAGATAGCAAAATTTTTGTTATAACCTTTTTTGTGGATCCGATTAATTGCTTCAACAAATGTAATGACGAAAATTTCGCTGTCTCCNGACTACTATGAGTTTTAATAGTCCTGGGTTATTGGAGTGAGACTTTTCATACGTTGAAGATCGATTATATAGATCAAAGTAAAAACGAATAATTAGTGCAAAAAAAATTTTTTTTCTTGTTCGTTTGCTCGAAAACGCTTAAAATGCCAAAAACCGTCCAGGGCCTCCAATTTTTGAGCTACAAAGAATTTTTTTTTTCAAAATTTTCGGAAAACTATGTGAGATTTCTTTAATGCCTAAAGGAGGTTAGGCGGTGTATGAGGTGAATTTGAGAGTGAATTTCTGTGGTTCCCGGTAGCTTAGTCGGTAAGAGTGCCCGGCGCGTATCTGGGAGACCCGGGTGCGATTCCCGGCTGGGTGAAGCGGAAATTTTTTCTCTCTAAATTCTAATTCTCTTAAAATTTTTTTTTTTTCAACAACTTAGAAGAATTTTATTTTTTTTCCTCAAAAACTCAACTGGGAGATAAGTTGACTTAAACCGTTTAACCACTTCGCTACTGAATTGTCCACTTGTTTTAGAGCGAACAACACTTGTTTGAAAACTTGTCCGTTTTTCTTTTAGTGTAGGCCATTAAATTTTCTTAAGGTGTAGTTTTTAATAGAACTTTGGATGAAATTGAACTATAATAGGAGCTGAAAATAGACAGGATTTGATGCTCCAGTTAGCTTTGGAGTGACTGACAGAATGTGCCACAATGAGTTCAATTTCGTGTGAAGGAGTATGTATTGATGAATAATTGGAGCGTAAGGTATAAATATCTCAGTGATAGAAGTCAATGTAAAGATGGATATATCTCTGAAAAAAGAATACAAAGGTCCAGCTCTTGTAGGGAGTTGCACAGAATTTGAACGACATACACTGTTGAAATTTTTTGGCAATTTTATGGAAGATGTTATAGTAAATCTCATGAGAGTGACATTGAATCGAATTTAGGGAAAAATGGTTATGAAATTTCAAGTTTTAAGTAGATTTCAGAGAAATTCATGAGCTTTCAGTGGGAGTGAGATGGAAATTTCACAACTTGATTGAATTTACAGTGGAACATGAATATTCAGAAACAAAATGATATAAATTGAAATTTTTCCCTGAATTTTCCTCGTTTTTCTGAATTTCCACAGAATAATTGAACTCAAAAATCAAGTAATTTATTGATTTCCAAATCATTTGAACAGGAAACCAATGGAATATTTGCTTTTTCAATGACAAGATTTCCTGAAATTTCAGCCGAATTTGAACACGACAAAAATTTCCGGAATTCGGTGCGGAAAATTCAGACGAAAATTTTCAACAGTATAACAGAAAATAAAGCGAAATTTAAGAAACAAAATAAATATGAAGGACAAATCTAGAGGATAAGCGACAATATCTGCTGTTTTGCATCATCTATTCATTTTTTATACTTATCAAATTGAATTTATTAGTGAATTTATAAACCATTTGTGATAAATGAACATTGAGTGTACTATTATGACGGTTTCGGTTATCCATTCAATACCTAAAATCGTTTTGCATCCATAAACTGCACACAGAAATAAAATGTCTTGAATTAAGAAACCAAGACATCGATTAAGACATTTCTGTCACCTTTTTCAAGAATTTTTTGGACAAACGACTGGAAAAAGGCGACAAACCGTCTCAATTTGACTTAATTAATAACCATATCTCATTCTCAATTTGGTAATCAGGTGATTGATAATTAATAATCATTGACTTCCCCCGAATCATAACAATATCAACTCAAAGAAATAACTCATCATAAAATCATAAAATATAGTAAAGTAATTCATGATAAATTCATAATATGTATAAATTTCATAATTTTTTCCTCCGCCTTGAAGCTATTAGATGATTCTGGATGTAGACGGTAATGGACGAATATTTTAAAAACTTTCTAGAGGGTGGTTTGGCTTCGTCGGTTGACATTTAATGGTCCCTCATAACTCCCAAACGCGGGCCTCCGAATGCCACGAAATTTAACGAGAAGCTCCAGTTATCGATCCTTCCCTATCGGTCCGCGCCTACCCGTACTCTGGGCTGCGCTGGGAGGCTATCAAAGTAACTCGATTTCAGTAATGTCACTTGTCATTTAAAGTTGTCACTTGAATGTTTTCACGTGGGCGGCGGAAAATAGGAGAATTCAAATGTTATAGACAACTACACGTACCAGCGATTCATATATATTGCGCTAAATTACTCGAGAATATATGGGAACTCGATTATCTTCGCTTGGAATAGACAATAAAAGAGGGTTGAAGTGAACCAGGATTTTATCCGTAAATCTGAGATTCTATTCACGATTGTAGTCACACGATTGGAATCGTTATGCACGGCAAAGTGCTTATTCGCAGATGCTATAAAACATAACGATGGGTTGTGTCATTTATTGTGAGATTATTCAGGGAAACCGATGAATAATGAGTGGAAAGTTTTGAAAATGTTGATGACCAGTCGTTAAATTTGGGTGAAGAAATTAGAAAATTTTTTGAGGGACATGGAGTTTAATATTTTCGATGGAATCAATACATTGTTGGAAGTTTTCAAGGGAGTTTGGGGTTTTATTTAATGATAAAACTTCCAGGTTTATTTCATTCTCTTCTTTGAGGGGTGAAGAAACGGAATTTTCTTTGACGATATGTGGAGTTTATGCAACTTTTGATTTAGTTTTATGGAGATGTTTTGGAAACTATTTGTGGGGTTGAATATGTTAATACGAGGTGAAATATTCAGAGGAAAATGCTTTCGGTTTGATAAGATACTGATTAATTCGATACAAAATTTTACAAGGATGACTTTTTAATTACTTTTATCACTCGTTCATAGAGTGAAATTCTACGCGCACGGAGAGAAATATTCACTAAAAATTACATTACAATTCACGCAATCAACAATGAGGAATCGTTTTTCGGCAATTTTTATAGGAATGGAAGAGAAGAAATCTAAAACGTTGAGTGAACTTTCAGGTTTATCACCGAACAAAGTACGAAATTGTCACGTAATTTTTTCTGAAGAAGTAAAATCTTACAGAAACTTCCCGACTTATTATGCCTCCAAAATCAAAAATTCTTGGACGTTCAACAATTTTGATGAAGCTGATGAGTTATTTCTACGTTCCGTTCCGTAAAATTTGTCAATCCTTGGGGAAAAATTACGGAAGTACTTGTTGTCCCCACAGCGGTGAATCATCAGACGAGTGGTTAATTTTCACGGAACAAATCGTTGAATTGCGATTCGTACAATTTCAGTTCCGACTGACACTTTTTATTGAATTTTACTCGCGGATTACGTTTCAAAACGTAATATCTACGTTTTTTCTGATAATTTTTATCCAACTTTGCTCTTGCTGCTATATGGTCAAACGACTTCTTTCGTAAGTTGAACTTTGGTGACACTGTGCGACCGCTTGTCTTGGATTTTTGCCGTAAAAATCGGCATTTATATTAAGCTAAATGAAATTCTCCACAACAATATTTTAACACATATACACTTTGAAAAAAATTCTCATTTTGAGATTTCAAAGATCTTAAGAATGTTTTACCAAAATCCATATTATTCATCATAATTTTGATATTGTCTCATATGCCACGTTCATATTTGAGCCAAACGTTGGTAATAATCTTAATCTTTCCATCGGACCATCCCAATGAGAAATTAATGCCTGAAAATCACTTCTTCTAACATTACGCTTAGGGAAGAAACGTGACCGTGTGAACTTTGATCGAGATGTTGTATGGGTTAGACACTCAAGATATTGAAAAAAACCACAAGCCATTCACTTTAGACTATGGAGAATCTATCGCCGGCGAGAACAAGTAGGGGACCGGGCCATATAAGTGTGATATCTTCGATTGATTATCGAATTCCTCTAAAAAAAATTTGACCGCCATTACGCATCGAGCAACGCGACAACACCGCACAACAGCTGATCGAGGTCGGTAAAGTCGGCGACGATAATTCAGTGCTGGAATCATATGGACACGTATAACACACAAACATTCATCTCATTGTTACAACCACACTACTAGCCGAAGCGTGTGATGTTGTCCGATCAAAATTCGACTGTTACTACTGCAGTCACAAGTCCTCCATTATTTATAGACATTTTCTTTAATTATTGTTTTTGAGACTGCCAAAGTACGCCATAACACTTCTGATTTGATGAGAAAAATAATTTCAACATAAATGATTTATTTAGTCAATTTTATTTTTCTTTTCCACTGAGTTATCCACTTGACGGGTTAAACATCTTTGAATTGAGACTTTCAGAAATCTCAAGTTGAAATCGTAAGTCTCAAATTAAATTTTTTTTTCGTGTAATAAGTCATACGCGTCAAATGATATCCGGTCATTATTTCTCTCAATGCATGTTCTAGATATTGGAACATTCCTATAACAGAATTATGCTCACGTGAATTTCACCAGTCTCCACCCACTCTAATTCCAGACGTAGACGTTTGCGCATTGCTAGATCAATTGGGCCAAGAATTGATATCAACCGCCTGTGTGGGACTCCTCGAGCGGGCATTTCGCTGCCTGGGAAATGATCTGACTGCATTTCTAACCACCCTCGACGGCGTCAACGATGTCGTTCAACACCAATCGGGGCTGGACACTGAAGCAGAATTTGTTTGCATTGCAACACCCGAGGGACTCGAACTGCACTTTACCACTGACCACCCGTCCATTGCCTATCTACTCGTCGGCAGTCTCAAGGCTATTGCCAGGATATTTTACAATGATAATGCTGATGTTTATATTCTACCAGATCCCTACAACACAAAATTTTTCAGGTAAAAATTTATTTTTCAAATTGTGGGATGATATCACTGGCTCAGACCCGAAAAGAGTTCTATGATTCAAGGCGGAACTCTCAATGAGTCCACAGGGAAAGAAGTTTCCACTTTTAAGCACCAAGTTATTGATTTTGAGACACTTGGTTCTAATATATATTTACTTGAGAAGAAGAAACTGCTCCCTAAATTTCAGGAGAAAAATCTTTAAAACATTCAAAAAAGATGAAATTTCTGAATAATTGAACATTAATTCAATCAGGGTGTGAGGTAATATACTTTTAATGAAAAACAATTTATAAATCACATCTAGCCAGGATGATAAATTTCAGAGATATTTCGAAAAGTACTCGGAACATGAGTAAGTTTATTTTACAACAGGAAAAATCATCAAGGCAAGAACGAGAATGTTCTTAATTCGATAATGCGGATGTTCTTCATTCGAGAACTACAAGGTTCCTATTTCAAGAATCCAAATTTTCCGAATTCGCTAACCAACTTTCCTTTAAAATAAGATGAAATGTGCCTCAATTCTCGAGTGATACAATCAGACTAGATTTCAGTGATAATTATAAAAAGTCATAAAAAGCTTTCTGCCCGGTTTTTTCCATTTATTATTTTCCAATCACCGATACGAGAAGATACTTCTGACGCTACCATATAATTCCGAGTACTTTAAAAATAAATATAGGATTATAAATTTCAGAGATATTATAGACGGTACTTGGTACATAAGTAAATTGGTTTTACAACAGGAAAAATCATCAATCCAAGAACGAGAATGTTCTTAACTCGATAATGCGGATGCTTTTGATTCAGGAACTCCAAGGTTCCTATTTCAAAAATCCAAACATTGTGAATTGGCTAATCAACTTTGTCTTAAAATAAGATGAAATGTGCCTCAATTTACGAATGATACAATAAGACTACATTCAAATGATAATTGTCAAAAGTTCCAGCTTTTACCCGGTTTTTGCCATTTATTATTCTTCAATCACCGTCACGAAATGATACTTGATGACACTGCCATACAATTCCGAGTACTTCAAAAATAAATAAAGGATTATAAGTTTCAGAGATATTTCAAAAGGCACTCAGTACATAAGTAAATCGATTTTACCACAAAAAAATCATCAATTCAAAAACGAGGTTGCTTTTAATTCGATAATGCGGACATTCTTGATTCAGAAACTTCAAGGTTCCTCTTTCAAGAATCAAAATTTTCTGAATTCGCCAAACAATTTTCCCTTAACATAAGATGAAATGTGCCTCTATTTCCGAATGATACAATTAGACTAAATTCAAGTGATAATTATAAAAATTTCCCTCTTCCTGCCCGGTTTTTGCCATTTATTATTCTCCAATCACCGACACGAAATGATACTTGATGACACTGCCATTGATTTCCGAGTACTTCAAAAATAATTAATAGCCGTCGCCACAAATACGAGTGCAGCTCATCGATTTGAATTTGCTCACTGTTAAATTCTATCCGAATCCCATCCACGTGAATGTGCATGGCGTTACCATTGCCATTGAGTAGTTTGAGGGTGGCATGATGTAACGTTTGCACTGGTATCGTAGGCATAGTATACATCCCAGTGGAATTCAAATTTCCAACAGAGTGGAAATGATTTCATCGTAAAGTGTGCACTGAGTTGCACCTGCCTCACCATGTGTTTTCCCTATGATGAATGTTACCTCTTATTGGCATGCATGCGATTCTAGTGTCTGGGATATGCAATCCGTAGAAACGTGTTTGGTGTTGAAAAAATTTTTTTTTCGTTTCAACCCGTTTCCGTGTGAAAGGTAGCAATTGGGTCACCAGATGAATTCGATGAATAAATATTAATAGTTTTTCCGTTTTTGAAAACACGATAAAACATTGTTTATTGCTGCACAGTGGCGAAAAGGTGCAACTGGCAGAATTGAATTGATAGAATTTTTCAACTTTATTCTACTTTTGGTTTTTTTAGAAGGGTATGGAAAGCACAGATAAAGGAAACAGACTTTTGTTTTGAAAATTTATGAAACATGTCACTGATGTCTAGGGACATGCAAAAAATATTTTCAAAAATCTATCCCCAATTATTCTGTTTAGATATAGTCGAACGCAAGCTTCTCATCGACGGAGTCGACATTAGTTTGAGTATAAGATGTCTGAGTATAAGATGAAATTTAACAAATGGTTGTCGAATGAAATTGGAAATTTTTTTCTGAATTTTAATGAAATAGTTGTTAAATTTCACGAACTAGTTGTTAAAATTCAACCCTTCAACCCTTTCATTTCTCAAAAATAGCCTCAATAAATCCAACTAATTTAGTTAGACTCATTGAATCTCTTCACCCGCCTTACCTTTTGGCCCACATACACCAAATAAACCCTCCTCACATAAGGCGAATTCCCTGTAATTTTAGAACCCTGTTGATGTCGTAAAATCGATTGCGAAGCCCGAGAATACTCCGGCGTCCCAAGATAAATTTAATATAAAGAGAGGATTTCTAATAAAGTCCTACAGGTCACCCAAATGTTCAATCACCCTCCCTCAACTCGGATTCCCCATTGTTTTCCTCTCGCTTCTCAACAGACACCCAGAATTTCCAATATTTCATCCACAAATATTAAACCAAACTTCAGATGTCTCTCCTTAAAATAGGATTTAAATAATTCCCATCCCTCTGACAGATACCGCATCACACCGGAGCGTTATGACCAGCTGGTGCTCCAAGAGCCACCATCCGAGGATGACTTTGACGTTGTGACACCAGCACCCCATCCTTTATCAACAGAGGCAGCTGATCTGCGAATGGGAGTTGCCAGTATCTGCAAAGCATTCCCATGGCACTTTGTTGTAGATAGAAATCTCGAAATTGTACAGCTTGGTGTTGGATTTATGCGCATCTTCGGTCACAATCTCAACAGGCATGGACGTCAAATATCAACTTATTTCGTATTCACCAGGCCACGGGGTGTTACCTTATTATTTCACGAGATTCTCAAACGCTCGAACACACCATTTGTACTGACACTGCAAAAGCCACCGGGTGCTGATAAATTTCCAGCTGAGGTGAGTCATTTCTTTCACCCATGGTTTAAAGTAGCTTTACGAAGTAAAATTGCGAAGAATTTCTCGACAATTTCATTAGATTCGTAAGCGTATTTTTGAGAATTTAATGACCCGTTTGGTTTTTTAAATGAAAAATATTGAAAAATTACGATTTAACCCATCAACGGCTTATGTGACACGTATTCTTATTTTCATACACGCATGAAGAAATTCAATAGATAACCTAGCGAATTCGCTAAGAAATTCTATTGGAATTCTATAGGAATTCTATGAGATTTCTATAAGATTTCTATTGAAAAATTCTATTTGTTTTTGGAAAAAGTCAAAAGATTTCGAATTTCTGTTTGAAATTTCCTCTTGAGATTTTTGTTATAAGAATGATTGGGCATTAATTTTCTAAGTTTTTTCCGCTCTCATTCTGTAATGCAAAACACAACAAAATCCAGCGGAAACAAATTAGAAAATTTGTGCCCAATAATTTCTAATAGAAAAAATCTCAAGAGCAAAATTCGAACAGAAATTCGTAATCTATTGACGATTTCTTATCGAATATCTAATAGAATCAGCGCAAAAAACAAATAGAATTTTTCAATAGAATTACAATAGAAATCCTATAGAAACCCCATAGAATTCCTGTAGAATTCCAATAGAATTTTCTAGCGAATTTGCTAGATTTCTATTGAATTTTTTTGTACGTGTAGTTATGGATCAAGTGAGCAATCACCGGATGGTCCTCATCACTTCCTAGTTCACCACCTTAACCCTGATCCTCTCGCATCTCTGAATAAAACTACTAAATCACTACTCAACTAATCATCCCTATAATTTGGTCAAACTTTTTTCTGCTTGAAAGGTCAAATATTGAAATACACGACAACTCCCAAAGTGGTCAATGGTATTGTGTGCTCGAGCACGTCGAGTCTGTTCAAGTCCACAGTTGCCATTCCTTTGATGCTCGATACCCACACCCTCCCGCAATTCCACCCTCAACCTCCTCCGCATGTCCCTCCTCTGATTCCCCCAACTTTCTTTAATCATCAACTCTCATTTCAAGGGTCTGGAGCTGAAGGGTCAAATGGTCCACTGTCCAGAATCGGATTCAATTCTATTTGTTAGTTCACCATTTCTAAATGGCCTAGAGGGGCTCACTGGACGGGGTCTCTTTATTTCGGATATACCACTGCACGACGCAACAAGGGATGTGATACTCGTTGGCGAACAAGCACGAGCGCAGGTAACAATAAAGAGATATGGAGAACTAACATAAAAACGAGTGTTATCTCTTTTGAAGATCAAAAACAGATTTTTCTCAACATTCTCCACATCTTCGCTAGCTTTGTCAAGAGTGCATTGAAAATCATTGTCCATTTCAGCAACACATGTCATCCGATATGACTAAACTTACATTTTTCCCTCCAACAAACTAGGACGGCTTACGAAGACGTATGGACAAATTGAAAAGCTCCATCGAAGAAGCAAATCTTGCTGTGGATGCTGAAAGGGAGAAGAATGTCAGTCTGCTACATCTAATATTTCCACCGGATATTGCCAAACGACTATGGCTAGGTATGGAATCATTAAATTGGAAAGCTCTTCATCCCGCAGATTTCATTGTGTAAACTTCCTCTATACCGCGGGTCTTAGTGCCTCCATCCGTGGTTCAATAATATTTGCCTTTCATCCTCTCCTTCGATTTTTACCTTGTTTCCTTTTCGATGGATAGTTTAATAAGGCTCTTTTGTTGAAAAGCTTAATGATTGTTTCCAATATGATGTTTACGTTATTGAAGCCATGTTTAATCGAGAGCCTCAAAAGGATCATGCTTTCGATAAATCCCGGGATGTCTGGTAATTATGATTACGATGCAGTTGGCACGGCTCTTTTATGACCCCAAGGGAGTCGTTATCTCTTACGGTCGTCCACTCGTAAACTACCAGTGGTAGTTTAACGATTGACTGTTGGAGTTATTACCGTTGTACGTCTTCATCCTTTACTCATTGCCACAAGCACTTCTATCTCGAACAGTGGATTAATTCAGTAACTTGATTAACATGTTATTCAACACAGGTGAAACCATCGAGGCCAAAACCTATCCTGATGTGACAATGCTGTTCAGCGATATCGTTGGATTCACCGCCATATGTTCGACCGCAACACCCATGATGGTCATCAACATGCTTCAGAATCTTTATGAACGATTTGACCAATTTTGTGGGCAATTGGATGTCTACAAGGTAATGTAAACTGGATGCATGGTGCATTGCTTGGATGATTTAATGGGGTGATTGGAGGATAATAGCATTTGTGTAATCAATCGTAATTGTTGATCACTTAGTGTCTGGTGGGGGACAATTGGGGGATATTGTTAGGGAACCACAACTAATTCATTGATTTATCGTAGGGAATGGTACCAATTGTGGGGATTGATATAGTGAAGATTGAATCGTGTGAATACGTTTCACGTACGAAAAAATTTCAGAGATAAACTTGACACATTGATAATTGGGAGATATTACTAATTCAAAGACTTTTTCGAGGAAATTGAATTATTTCGTCATTTAACAACAATAAGAATTAAAATCAACAAGAACATTGACGCGGACTCAATTAGGTAAATAACTTGCAGGGCGTGACCAGGTCCATAATTGTGGCCGTTGTGGGATTTCTATCAACTGCGTCCCCGTCGCGATTCGATAGATATGTACAGATTCGGTAAAATATAGTTAGCAGGGTAAATTCATTTATTCCACATCTAGTATTCCATACCATCTGCGAAATGGTTTGGTAGTGATTGGTATAACATTAGAATTCGAATATCTTTTAATAAACTGTGTACTACTACTACCCTAATAGAAATTTCATTGCGCAGGAACGTCGCCGCGAAAGTTGGCGCGGACATTACCTTTCGCGGCGATGTACCTCAGAAAGGTATGCATCAGGGTCGCTGAGGCAGGGCTGCGCGGGATTTGTACGGGATGGACCTGTGTCCGCCCTAACCTCAAATCCCGTTAATTAAGAATTCACAATCTTCAGATTATGTGTATTCATTCAAATCAATTATTGAACGATTAACGATTTGTTAGTGAATAATAATCTCTCGCAATTAATTGATGATTATTATTATCGATAAAATGAAAAAATGGGAGCGCACCGCGTCAGTGTTGCATAGGGTTCCAGCAGCGAACTAGCCGCGGAGTATGGCATCGCACTCCGTGCGTGCATGTCGCTGCAACAGCCAATGTCGCAGAGCTTCTCACAATTTCTACTGGTACTGGTCCAAAAACGCATAAGTCGTGGGGTCTTTAGTGTACTATTCCAATGATGTATTCTTATTATATCCATCTGTTTTTTTATCATTTCCAGTGGATATAAGGTATTCCTTCTTCAACTCCATCTTACTTTCTTCCGACAATAAAATTAAAAATAACTTCATGTGGATATACCTTCATTGTGAAAAAAATTTTTTTTTCCTCAATGAGGTGACCAAGTTCTTGAAAAAAGAACCAACAGTTGTTGGTGACGTATTAAATCCTCACCAACTCTTGACGTGATCCAGGACTCACGATGGGTATGTGGTTGGTGGAGAGTCTCAAAAATGAAATATAAAATAGTTATTGATTACGTATATTCAAACTTAATCGATGGGCCTTTGTTTCCAAAATTTACAAAAGTTTATATGTCCTTGGCAATCTGTATTCACCTAAATATTCCAGAAATTTGGCAAAAATTCAAGTGTTCCGTTAACTGGGGAGGGATGTTCCGCAATTGAACTGTTCACCCTAAAATGCGGCGTAAAAAACTCGAAAAAAATTATGCCGAGAGATTTCTATGGAAAATATCTCAATAGAATAAATTATATAGAGAGGTTAAAATATATTGAATTTTCCTTTACAATATTTCCTATTGAAAATTTTCATTTAAAAAGCGTCCAAAGAATTTAGAAATTTTTTCTCTGTAAGAATTGCCGAAAAAATAATAGAATTTTAAATAGAAGTCAAAAAAGAACTTCTTGAAGCCTAGGAAAAATTCTCTAACATTTCCTTGCAAATTTACTCATTTCACAGATCTTCGTATGCAGAATGATCTGGATGATCTCTTTAAATTCATCTCCCTTCAGCGCATGTGTTCATGCAGCCATGTAATGTACAGTGATATTATCAGACTGCCACAATTGACTCATTAATTAAATTATACCATGAAATATTACCACAAACGACGGAGTATGATACAGTGAATAATTAATTCATATTACTTTTTTCTCTTTGCTGCCACTGAAAGTGGTCGCAGGATTGCAATTTCATATTTTTATGAGAGAAAAATGGAATAAAGGGGTTAGAGATATGATATTATTGCAGCTCGCGTGCTGGTATGATTTCGATGGGTACAGAATACGAAGAAAAAATACAGGCATTGTAGTGTTCGAAGTAGACTCACTGGATGGAAGATCCAGAAAATGATAATTGGAGTGGCGACCCATCCCTTCTCGCTCCATTTTCAACTTTTTACTCTGTTCATTATAATGGTTCTTTTTTTGCTTCTTCATCATAAAATCGGTATATTCCATTAGTGGTGTTCATAACGGTGCTGGGTGATATTAAAGTCTGGCGTGACTGGCGTTATTACGCAGCGGAAAATTCTTAAGAAATAGTTGATGAGCGAGGGGCGGTGGGAGAGGGGAGAGGTACGTGTCATGAAGCGGTTGACGATTGGCATCGTGGGAGCAAATGAAATCACATGCCATTTTTATTTTGTCGAGTTTTTTTCCACCGGGGGCTGCATATGAAACCCATTTCTCGCTGATCTCCGTGAGAGATTGTTGAGATGATGTCGATAAAACTTAATTCACGGGGTTCAGTTTTAATTTTAAAATGGTTTAAAAGAATTATTATGGTGATGCCTGGAGGGGATGATTTTTAATCGGAAATTTTGTGTTTGAAAAGAATGGGATTTGCGTGGGAGATTTGAGAGAAATTCAATTAGTCAGTCGAAAACATAATGTGTGCATAGTTCATATTTTGGCCTCAGGCATTCGCATATACGATTTTTAGACCAAATGTCCGTATATATGTATGCATGTATGTATTTTTGTTGCGATGCAAACAGTCGTTTCATTTTTCATATGAAATTTTATTATTCATTATTATTCTCCATTATATCACACGTCGATTCAATATAAACTTAACCCTCGATTGGTCGCGTCATGGCACGAGCTCACCGTTCTCAAAAACAATAATTAAAGAAAAAGTTCATAAATACTGGAGGACTTGTGACTACGGTGGTAACAGTCGAATTTTGATCGGGCAACATTGCACGCTTCGACTAGTGGTGGGGTCGTAACAGTGAGATGGATGTTTGTGTGGGTTATACGTGTCTATATGCTTCCAGCACTGAATTGTCGTCACCGACTTTACCGACCTCAATCAGCTGTTGTGTGGTGTTGTCGCGTTGCTCGACTCGTCATGGCGGTCAAATTTTTTTTAGAGGAATTCGAAAATCAATTGAAGATATCGCGCTTATATGGCCCGGTCCCCTACTTTTTCTCGCTGGCGATAGATTCTCCATAGTCTAAAGTAAATGGCTTGTGGTTCTTTTTTCAATATCTTGAGTGTCTAACCCATGGAACATTTCGATCAAAGTTCACACGATCACGTTTCTTCCATAAGCTTAATGTTATAAGGAGTGATTTTCAGAAATTAATATCTCATTAGGATGCCCCGATGGAAGGATTAAGATTATTACTAACGTGTGGCTCGAATATGAGCCTGACTTGTGAAGCAATATCAAAATTATGGTGAATAATGTGTGTTTTGCCTAAACATCCTTAACTTCTAAATGTCAAAGTTTCGCACCGAATGGAAATCAATTTTTGAATAATGTTTTCACTTTTCTCGTTTTATACTGATATTATTTGTTAGTTGGAAGTTCAAATTTTCTCGTTTAATCATAAATACATCTTTTTTAACTTGTTTTTTCTCAAAATGGTCAAATGAAATAAAAATACATGGAACGGCGCAGCGCTCATCACGCGACCAGATACGTTTGGTGGAGAGGTGCGACCACTCGAGGGTTAAAGACATTTTTTTCTGCATGAATAACTACTTGATTTTATTGCGTAAAATTCTTAAGACAAACGAAAATTAAACTCGCAACGATTCCAAATTTTTTTTTTTACAAAGACTTTTCATCTCGACTAGACATATACCAGTTTGCTTCGTTGCAGTCAGGTCCTTCAGACCTCTTTGTAAAAAAAAAAAATTCAAATAGATTTAAAATTTAGAGAGAAAAAATTCCGATTCGCCCAGCCAGGATTCGAACCCGGGTCTCCCAGTTACGCGCCGGGCACTCTTACCGACTAAGCTACCGGGAACCACTGTTCAATTATATTTCGTGTCTCGTTCTCGGGATCACTAGTGTAGATGTTTAGAGTTCCGAAAAAACTCTGATTTTGTTAGAACATCTTATTTTTTATATTATAATAATTTATTTATCAACTCAAACATAGTAAATGTAAGCAACATAATAAATGAAATCATGAACTTCAGACTTGTTTTTCTCCTTATGAGATAAGTCAACATACAATAAAGTAGAAATAAATGCATTTTTAAACTCTGAGAATTGCTTTAGCAAATGAACTTTTCTGTTGAATAATCGGACGATTATAAAATCTATCAAATGTATAGAAGTTTCGGACCATCCCGCAAACTGTTTGATCATTGCGACATCAATGCCCTGTTTTAGGGCTGCAGAAGTGGTGGCATGACGGATACTGTGTGGGGCGAATTCCCCCAACCCACACTCTCTTAAGAAAACGCGTAGCCATCTACTGAGTGTATCCTTAGAAGCTGCTTTGTAAGGAGGTCTTGTAGAAATAAACAGCGAATCCTCTTCATTTCTGAAATCCGCTGTCACACTCAGATATCTCTCGGGCGTCGACGCTGCACACAAATGCGGGCATTCCTCGAATCTTGGGATCGTCAATAGAGGTTGCAGGACTCCTTTATTCGAGTTCTTCACTCTATTAGGAATTTTAATCTCATACAGATTTCTCACGCGTTTAATATTGCTAATTTTTATAAACCAAAGACACTGTCCACGCTGTGCCGTGATAAGAGCTAACAGCATAGCCAGTTTACTGGTTAGTTGAGGTAAAGAAAGAGAAGCCAGAGGAGACAATTTCTTCAATTTTTCTAAAACTGGTTCTAGATCGTAAATAGCATCATATTTTGCCTTAGAA